TGCATAATGGGAGGAATAAGGGTAATAGTAGTAGTAACAACAACAAGACTAATGTGATGATGACGATCAGGTATAATACATCTATCCGGTTTATTATCAATACCTCCTAGGAGACCACCACTATCAGCAAGTGGTACTAGTAGTAGTTATAATACTCGATGTATCCTTGACTCTACGTCATCATCATCATCATCCTTATCCTACTACTATCGGAATACCACACCTTATCGAATATTAACTAGAATGCTCAACAGGATGAGTATCATTACAACTAGGGTGAGAATAACAAGCCTATATCGTCCTCCTGTTCCTCCTTCTCTCTCATCCCTTTCATCATTATCAGCCTTCCCCGCCGCCTCAATCTACAATACCACCCAACGTGTCAATGCTTACTGCACCTGTGGTAAGTAGTACAACAACATCAGCATCAACATCATTATTATTAACACCGCATCGCTGTTCCTCTATAGCGTTCCTATCATGGTTACCCTCGACATGATGATGAAGATGATATTCAGAGGGATGGTAGCTCAATAGCATCATCATCATCAGCAGGAGGAGGAGGAGGAGATAGCAGTATGGATGACACATTACTTGAATATCATCATCATGATGATGATAACACAGAGGACAGTCATAGCGACACGGATATTAAGAGTAGTACTATTATCATCATCATTATGGTGATGATGATCCTTTACTATAGGTGAGTATGTCCAATCAGTCCGTGGACATCCAATTCATCCGACTACCATTGGAGTACTACTATCACCATATAATAGAATAGGGGATAGTTATGTAGCCCTTACAACATTAGATAGGACTGTACTACTACTCGACGAAGACGAAGACGACCAATGAAGATATCCTCTATCCTTTATAAAGTAGTAATACTAACTGTACTTGGATACCGACATTGGATATTGCTTCTGCAATAACAAGAACAGCTTCATCATCATCATTATCACTGCCTCCTCCTTCAATTATTGGTGTTATCATCTAT